AAGTACACGGTGTACAGGGTCCTGTGTGTGTGTGTGTGTGTGTGTTTTGTGTGTGTGTGTGTGTGTGTGTGTGTGTGTGTGTGTGTGTGTGTGTGTGTGTGTGTGTGTGGTGTGTGTATGTGTGTGTGTGTACCATGTTGGTAGGGCATATGTGGTATGGGGAGTGTGGTGTATGTGGTGGGAGTGTGGTGGTGGGAGTGAACGTGGTGATGCTGGGAGTGAGGGTGATGGTGGTGGGGGTGTGGGGGGGTAGTGGTGGGAGTGTAGGTGGTGGGGTGTGGGTGGTGGGGAGTTGTGGTGTAAGTGGGGGGAGTGTAGGTGGTGGGGTGTGGTGTGGTGGTGGGGAGGTGTAATTTGGGGGAAGTGTAGTGTAGGTGGGGGAAGTGTGGTATAGGTGGTGGGAGTGTGTTGTAGTGGTGGGAGTGTGGTGTAGGAGAGGGAGTGTGGTGTTACGTGGTGGGAAAGTGGTGTAAATGGTTGGAGTGTAGGTGGTTGTAGTGTAGGTGGGGGGAGTGTGGTGTAGGTGGTGGGGTGTAGGTCGTGGGAGGTGATGTATGTGGTGTGAGTGTAGGTGCTGGGAGTGTGATGCAGGTGGTGGGAGTGTAGGTGGTGGGAGTGTGGTGTAGGTGGTGGGGTGTACTTGGTAGGAGTGTGGTGTGGTGGTGGAGTGTAGGTGGGGGAAGTGGTGTAGGTGGTGAGAGTGTAGGTGGTGGGAGTGTGGTGTAGGTGGTGAGAGGTAGGTGGTGGGAGTGTGGTGTAGGTGGTGGGGTGTGGTGTAGGTAGTGGGAGTGTAGGTGGTAGGAGCGTGGTGTAGGTGGTGGGAGTGTAGGTGGTAGGAGCGTGGTTTAGGTGGTTTGGTGTAGGCGGTAGGGAGTGGGTGTAGGTGGTGGAAGTGTTGGTGGTAGGAGCGTGGTGTAGGTGGTGGGGTGTAGGTGGTAGGGGTGGTGTAGGTGGTGGGAGTGTAGGTGGTAGGAGCGTGGTTTAGGTGGTTTGAGTGTAGGCGGTAGGAGTGTGGTGTAGGTGGTGGGAGTGTTGGTGGTAGGAGCGTGGTGTAGGTGGTGGGAGTGTAGGTGGTAGGAACGTGGTGTTGGTGGTGGGAGTGTAGGTGGTAGGAGCGTGGTGTAGGTGGTGGGAGTGTAGGTGGTAGGAGCGTGGTGTAGGTGGTGGGAGTGTAGGTGGTAGGAGCGTGGTGTAGGTGGTGAGAGTGAAGGTGGTAGGAGCGTGGTGTAGGTGGTGGGAGTGTAGGTGGTAGGAGCGTGGGGTAGGTGGTGGGAGTGTAGGTGGTAGGAGCGTGGTTATGTGGTGGGAGTGTAGGTGGTTGGAACGTGGTGTAGGTGGTGGGAGTGTAGGTGGTAGGAGCGTGGTGTGGTGGTGGGGGGTGTAGGTGGTAGGAGCGCGGTGTAGGTGGTGGGAGTGAAGGTGGTAGGAGCGTGGTGGGAGGTGGTGGGAGTGTAGGTGGTGGGGGTGTAGGTGGTAGGGTGTGGTGTAGGTGGTGGGAGTGAACGTGGTGGGGATGTAGATGGTGGGAGTGTGGTGTAGGTGGTGGGAGTGTAGGTGGTAGGAGTGTGGTGTAGGTGGTAGGAGTGAAGGTGGTAGGAGCGCGGTGTAGGTGGTGGGAGTGTAGGTGGTAGGAGCGTGGTGTAGGTGGTGGGAGTGTAGGTGGTAGGAACGTCTTGTAGGTGGTGGGAGTGTAGGTGGCAGGAGCGTGGTGTAGTTGCGGGAGTGTGGTGGTAGGAGGTGGTATAGGTGGTGGGAGTGTAGGGGGTAGGAGGTGGTGTATGTGGTGGGAGTGTAGGTGGTAGGAGCGTGGTGTAGGTGGTGGGAGTGTGGTGTAGGTGGTGGGAGTGTAGGTGGTAGGAATAGGGGGTAGGTGGTGGAAGTGAAGGTGGCAGGAGCGTGGGGTAGGTGGTGGGAGTGTAGGTGGTAGGAGAATGGTGTAGGCGGTGGGAGTGTGGTGGTAGCAGGTCGTGTAGGTGGTGGGAGTGTAGGTGGTAGGAGCGTGGTGTAGGTGGTGGGGGGTGTAGGTGGTAGGAGCGTGGTGTAGGTGGTGGGTGTGGTGGTAGGAAAGTGGTGTAGGTGGTGGAACTGAAGGTGGTAGGAGCGTGGTGTAGGTGGTGGGGGTGTAGGTGGTAGGAGCGTGGTGTAGGTTTGGGGGGAGTTTTAGGTGGTAGGAGCGTGGTGTAGGTGGTGGGAGTGTAGGTGGTAGGAGCGTGGTGTAGGTGGTGGGAGTGTAGGTGGTGGGAGTGTGGTGTAGGTGGTGGGAGTGTAGGTGGTAGGAGTGTGGTGTAGGTGGTGGGAGTGAAGGTGGTAGGAGCGTGGTGTAGGTGGGGGAGTGTAGGTTGTAGGGGGCGTGGTGTAGGTGGTGGGAGTGTAGGTGGTAGGAGCGTGGTGTAGGTGGTGGGGGTGTTTGATGGTGGAAGTGAGGTGGTTTGGAGCATGGTGTAGGTAGTGGAAGTGTAGGTGGTGGGAGTGAAGGTGGTAGGAGGGGTGTAGATGGTGGGAGTGTAGGTGGTGGGAATGTAGGTGGTGGGGGTGAAGATGGTAGGAGCGTGGTGTAGGTGGTGGGAGTGTAGGTGGTAGGAGCGTGGTGTAGGTGGTGGGGTGTAGGTGGTAGGAGCGTGGTGTAGGTGGTGGGAGTGTAGGTGGTGGAGCGTGGTGTTGGGTGGTGGGAGTGTAGGTGGTGGGAGTGAAGGTTGTAGGAGCGTGGTGTAGATGGTGGGGTATTTATGGTGGGAGTGAAGGGGTAGGAGCGTGTGTAGGTGGTGGGGTGTAGGTGGTGGGAGTGTGGTGTAGGTGGTGGGAGTGTAGGTGGTTTGGATCGTGGTGTAAGTGGTGGGGGTGTAGGTGGTGGGAGTGAAAGTGGTAGGAGCGTGGTGTATGTGGTGGGAGTGTAGGTGGTGGGAGTGTGTGGTGTAGGTGGGGGAGTGTGGTGTAGGTGGTGGGAGTGTGGTGTAGGTGGTGGGAGTGTAGTGAGGGGTGGTGGGAGTGTAGCTGGTAGGGGCGTGGTGTAGGTGGTGTGAGTGTAGGTGGTGGGAGTGTAGGTGGTGGTAGTGTAGGTGGTAGGAGCGTGGTGTAGGTGGTGTGAGTGTAGGTGGTGGGAGTGTAGGTGGTTTGAGTGCAGGTGGTAGGAGCGTGGTGTAAGTAGAGATGGAAGATGAACAAAACAATGATGGGCCGAAGTAACACTTAAATGTACATTCCGTGTTGTGATTAATGGCGGCAGATAGTGAGAGGTTGTACCTGTGTGTGGGCACAGCCCTTCTCTCTCCCTCCTTCCTTCCCTCTCCCTCACTCTCCCTTCCTTCCCTCTCTCTCACTCACCCTTCCTCCTGACCTGTCCAGCAAACACGGACATTTTACTATATGTAGTCTCCTTTATATAATAATCTTCACATGACGACATACCGGCAATTCCATTACCTCTTTATGCGATAGCCATCATGAGGGATGATAATTCTCGCGTAATAGTGACACCAGCACTGACACAACAAACTTTTAAGTGTCATTTAGTTAATGTACTCTCAGTGGATTGCTTGATAATGTCCTCATCGCCCCTGCTAAAGTCTCTCATCTCAGGCTGACAGATTACATTATCCCTTGCAAGAGACCCATCCCGTGTGATGAACTATGGCAGGGAAGCATAGCTAGCTTTTGTTCTCTTGATATGATCATCATGCAGAATGGGAAGTCGCACATTGCGGGTGTGCCCACCTTTTAGCTTGCATAGTACAGGGTATTAGCACAATGCATTTGTATTAAACGTATTAAACAATATTCCCATCTGCACTATTACTAAAATGTGAGGTGTATAGGCTATTGTTTTTTTATAATTAAATTGATTTCGGCCGCCAAAGTGGCAGGTTTGTGCACACAATAGCCTGTGACCTGTCGCAGCTGGTTTATTGTGTGTTATAAGTATTCTGTGGATAGTAGCGGCTAGTTCACTATATACCCCAAAACAGTTTTTGGAAAGGAAGACGCTAGTTTATTGTTTAACTCGTATCCATCCTATGGTCGCTAGTGGCTAGTTTATCGTTGACCGTAGCAGCTAAGTTATAGCACACCTTATAGCCATCCTGTGGCTGGTAGTGGCTAGTTTACTGTATACCTCGAATCTGTCCTGGCGAATACGAGAGAGCATATGAATATACAGAATCTGGGAATATATTTAAGTAATCTGTATACCTGTAGGTAATCCGTAGTTACTTTTGAGGAGTCACCGCCCCTGCAGCCCAGTCCCAGACCAGGCTTCCTGGCCTGATCGATCAGGCTGTTCTTCCCCACCGCCCACAGTCCGACGTACACACCACATCCCAGCAGATTTGGAACTGATTTGAGGAATTTGTCGAGATCCCTCTTGAAGACAGCCAAGATACCTTGACATCATAAATTACTGGACTGTATCTCTATATATCTTGTTAAAGTGGGCACTCGAGGCACTTAATGTTCGAGAAAGTGACCTCTGAACTGACCACATATTTCACATCAACGTAGTTTCATCATCAGTGGTATGCCAACGTGCCAGAAGTGCCTATAACGAGACCTAAGCCTGGCTACTACCACAGTCAGTCTGGCTACATTGCAAGTCAGTCTGTTTAAGATAAGTGCGAGGATTTTCAGTATATATATTTTTAATTCCATTGTTTTCTTGCCATTTCTTGAGTATTGATCATTGTATGATTTATCTCTATTATAAGAAACTGGTTTTCATTTATCGATAAAACCGTCGTACTGTAGCTAGTTTACAATGGCATGGGAAGATCCTCGCTGTTTCTTAGCATTGTGTATATAGCGTGACCTCAGCATATGCACTGAAAGGTAAACTAATTTTGCCCTGATTAACACTTAAATACGTTAAATTTGTCTTCAGTCTTCCTTTCCTATGTACTCCCATGTAGTGAATATGGTTTAGGTCTGTTGTCTGTCTTTCCCCATGTACTCCCACGTAATTGATCTCGGCTGGGTCACCTGTGTCTCAACCCCTGTCATTGGTGGTGCAGGGTACGAGTGGGTGGGCTGGAAGAACGACACCCGCCAGTCACAATCCATCGAGATTACCTTTGAGTTCGACTCCGTCAGGAACTTCTCCGCCGTCCACATCTACGCTAACAACTTCTTCACCAAGGACACCCAGGTAGGTCCTTCTACCTGCACGTCCTCCCCAAGGACTTCCAGGTACGTCCCTCCAACAATTCACATTTTCATAAGATACCCATTGCAGTTCTTCCTCTTCGGCAAATCCCGGATCTTACATAAGTAAGATCCGGAACGGTCCAAGAATGACATTATCTCAAGGGAAATCCAGAAGTCGCAACGACTTAACGCTGTAAAGTGCAGATTCAGACTGCGTACACTGTCTGGCGTAGCCAGAGTGAGTATTGCGTTTTACGCCAGTTTTATGGGTAGCGTTATCATGCTACGCATTCGGATTTTTCCCCCTAGCATAAAGGGCGAGACGGCAGGGTAGTATTGCAGAGGAGCGATTAACAAGATAATTAACAGTGGTTAACAGGCTGTTGATGGTTTTACGGCGTGATGCAGTAGCTACAAGCCGGGTAACTAGTGAATGAGATAGATTAGCCCCGACCAGGCGTGTAAATGAGCAGTCTGTGTTAACAGTCAATTATTTGCCCATTCATCTAGGGAAGACAAGACAGGCTGTAGAGCAAGCTTTCACTGGAACAACGTTTCACTGTGTAGAGGTTTATCGCTCTACACTACGTGTAGAGCGATAAACCTCTACGCAGAGGGAAACGTCTCAATCCACGTTCATTCTTCAAGTATGTGCTTTTTCTTCCCTATTGTCAGAAGTGAACTGTTAATGATCATTTATGACTACCTGACCTCTTTTCTTCCATAGTACCTATTTGCTTTAGTTATTCTTCTGGTCCAGTTACATAAAATATTGCCACATCAGTACTTATCAGCCCATACCATGGGTGGGGATAGAACTCGCGATCAGAGTGTCTCAAAACTCCAGACCGCCGCGGGTTCTATCCCCGCCCGTGGTAAGGTTTGCCTGCAATCGTGTCATTACGATTTCGTGAGTCAGTACTTATCTATGTCTTATTTATATTATCTAATCAATATCCACTGTGCTGAGTTGTCTTGACCTGATTTTTTTAGTTACTTGTTTACTCTAAGTCTTTTTTTTTCATGTTTACACCAAAACGGACCTTTGGAAGTTGACTTAAATAGCGAAGCTTTTTATTTTCAAAGTCCTGTATTTTTTTCTTTTTCAAATCCTATTGATCTGAATTCATTGTTTCACGAGACCACTTTCTCCTTTCGTTAATAATTTAAGACGTTTCGGCCCGTTCTTTCTCTGGTAGGTGTTCTCGCGGGCGCGCGTGCTGTTCAGTGTGGGTGGAGAACATTACCACGTGCAGCCAGCGGTGGAGTTCGAGTACGTGGTGGACCGTATCTTCGAGCACGCGCGTAATGTTACCATCAGACTACACAACGCAGCCGCCAAGTTTGTGAAGCTGCAGCTCTTTTTCTCCCATGTGGATTCTTCATTTTTTAAGTCGCCTTTGGCTCGGGTAAGTTCTTCGATGTCCCTTACTCGTGGTAAGTTCTTCGAAGTCGCCTTTGACTGGGTAAAGTTCTTTGAAGTCTTTAAACTGGGTAAAGTCCTCATCCTCGAAGTCACTTGACTCCAATAAGGTCTCATCCACGAAGTCCTTTTGGACTCCATAAGTTCTAATCTTCGAAGTTATTCAGCATAAGGCAGAAAGGTGTGGATTATCACTGTACTTTTCTTAGAGCATCAGTAGCTTTTGTATATAAACAGCATATACAAATCACAGCAAATAAATAAAAGGAAAATCTGATGATAATTCTGTCCATCCTGGATCATTACCAGGTAAGGAAACAGTAATTCAAAGCCATGCAAAATTCATCAAGTTTTCCATTGCAATTTGTGGATGCAACTCTGTGAATTTTTGATGTGACACTGTACTGGACTTATATTATTGGTCTTAAACAGTTACTAGGCGCTAGCTTTTGCTCTGTATGCTTATTTCTCGGATACGTGCTTTTAGTTTCATAGACTACTGAAACACAGCCACAATAATTACATTTATAGTATGAATTAAGTTTCTGAACGTCTTTTTTTTTTCCTCTTCTTCTCTTCAGAGCCATGTCAGTGTAACATGACTGAAGAAACACCACCTTTGGCTACGACGGAGGCGAGTGAGGTGGCGATTCCAGTGGTTCCTGCTCACACGCCGTCTTCTGGCTTCTTGGTAGGGGGACTGGTGACTCTCGGGGTTGTGTTTGGGGTAGTGCCGGTGGCGCTGTGCATCCTCTACTACCGTGTGAGACTCACGAAAGAGACCAGCAAAACTTCTCTCTCTAAGGAAAATGGTATCGATACCAGGAAGGTTTCCATGAAAATGAAAGACCTTCACATCAATATGAACCTCTCGCAGTTGTCCAATGGCTATTCTCGGGCTAAGGGGAATCTATATGGGCATGTTGCAATGGAAGAAGAAGGCGCATCTGTGTACCAAGAGCCTTACAAAGGTCCCATCCACAACCCAGGCTACCATACCCTCGGCCCAGTTATTTCCTCGTCAGACACTTCCTTCAAATGCCCCCTACCTCTAGACACTGACGATTCTGTAGACTATGCAGTGCCTGGCATGAATGTGACTCCTCCTCCTCCATTCTCTGATGTACACTCTCCTCCCCCACCAGTTCCTCTCACTCGGCCACCGCTAACGAAGGTCATAGCTCAAGAACACAGTTTAAATGCTCCGGCACCTCCTATACCACCACCACCCACACAACATTACTTCAGGGCTTCTCAAGTGTGTCAAGCCATTAACATTCAGGGCGTTACAGGAAGTGTCATTTATGCTGTGGCTGATGTTTCCGAGTTTCGAAATGCTCAGTCAGTCCCTGAAGTTGGAAGACACAGTCTTCGTGTCCTGGAAACAATAGGTGAGGGCACGTTCGGCACGGTTCAACTTTGTGAGGTGAAGAATGCTTCAAGAAGTGAACCTCAGATGCTAGTTTTGAAGAGCCTCAATACAATGGTTGATAACGCTACAAAGGAAGAATTCATACAAGAAGCTCAACTGCTCAGCTGTATTGATGATCCAAATATTGCGAGACTGGTAGGCATGACCACCCGCTCTGAACCTTTGTGTATATTACAGGAATACCTGGAATATGGCGACCTTTATGACTTCCTACGAAGACACGACCCTGAAAACAACTCATTGGCACAAAACGCAGTTTTCAAAGAAGGCAGCGAATGTTCTTTTCTTACTTATGGTGCTCTTGTTTACATATCTTCCCAGGTGGCGTCTGGAATGAAGCACTTGGAAAAGCTAAATGTTGTTCATCGTGATCTTGCAACCCGCAACTGTCTTGTGGGTAGAAGTCTTCATATTAAGGTATCAGACTTAGGAATGAGCCAGGCGAAGTATCATAGAGACTACTACCACCTTAGTGAAGAACATGCCATGTTGCCAATTCGTTGGATGGCGTGGGAGTCGATCGTACAGGCTCGGTTCTCCACCAAGAGTGATGTGTGGGCGTTCGGAGTGACGCTGTGGGAGATCCTGACGATGGCACGCCAGCATCCCTACGATGAGCTGAGTAACGATGGAGTGCTGGAGAACGTTTCTCACTGCTACCATGGTGACGGATCTGGCATGATGGTGCTGCCTCAGCCTGCCCTTTGTCCCCGGGAGATGTACGACATGATGACTGCTTGCTGGCGACCCAACGACCGCCAGCGTCCCCCCTTCTGGGAGATCCACTTGTTCCTGCAGCGTAAAAACCTGGGCTACACTCTCGACTATATTGAGTAAACAAATTCCCTCTCCTTGGATGACTTTATTCTCCTTCGCCGAGGAACTTCTCACGTTCATCTTATATGTAGTTTTGAGTTACCCCATCAACCGCCGAGAATGACTTCAGTTAACATTCTGGAAATTCTCTGCTTTCTTACAAAGCAGTATCCTAGCCTGAAGCACTAACCAGTTTCTGTGCTTTTCGGTCCCAGTTTTTCCTAGTGTTACACAACGCATTCTTTAGACAGATACTGTTACTTGGACAACATTAGGATTACCAGAAATTGAAGGTCCGCTCACTGGCTTGTCCTTTCAGTAACTATTTACTAACCTGTGGCGCCCATAACCAGATCGTTTAGAGAAAGGTCTTCGAAAAGAGCCTAAACATACGGTTACACATTGTCCCTTTGGCATTGAACTGGCAAAACATCCTCATAGTATCCACTTTGTACTACGGGGCAAGCGTAGTGAATTGAATCTGTGAAAAAAAAAGAAAAAAAACTCATTTTCGGAGGCAAACACAAACATTGTTGACCACAAACTGTCATGTCGTGAGGTCTGTGATTAATCTGTGATATATTATAGTCAGGGAATGGCCGCCAAACTGGTGTCCGGTGAATTATTTTCTGTAAAATAGATTTCATGTGCTAAGTTGTCCTATCATGTGAAGGCGTAAACAATCATCAGCCCCATTATGAATAATTTTAAGCGGAAAACATGTACATGTCAGTTATTTATCATCAAAACTAACAGTTCCATTAACAAAGCATTGTGGAACTGTTTTGATGGTTTTAACGGCAGTGTATCTTAGAGTGGTCCTAGTGGATGTTTTCAGTGTCTCAGAATAAAATTTGGAATTTGTGCCTCTTTTTTTTTTTTGCTTCAGATATTGTAAATGTTTTTTTGTAATATAAAAGCTTGTCAGCGTGTGTTGGACACACGTGTATTCACTTAACATTTTGAAGCTATATTTATAATATATATTATATATATATATATATATATATATATATATATATAACCTTAAGTGCCATTGTGGTGTAACTCATTTGTTTAAAAATATTATTTGAGGTTGGTTGACTAGGTTTTGAGTACAACCCTCGTGGTGGGTCGACAGCTCACTGATACGCTCAAAAATTTTCTCATCCTTGGCCCTGGACATACTCTCACGTATTTTTTAATCAGTACTTTACCCATAAGATGACTCTCATAGTATATATATATATATATATATATATATATATATATATATATATATATATATATATATATTATATATATATATATATATATATATATATATTATATTGGTCTTAACTGTTCCAAAACCAAGGGCTGGAATGCAAGACACAATGAGGTCAATGACATTATTAAGAGAACCCTTGCTACAGCTGGATGCCCAGCCGAGAGGGAGCCCCGATCACTAGCAGCCAACAATACCCACAACCCAGCAAACTGCTCCGACGGGATCACCATCTATCCTTGGAAGAATGGCAAGCTCTTAGCATGGGACTATACCTGTGTGTCCACACTGGCTGACACCTATATCCATCACAGTGTTGGGCGACAGGGAGGAGCTGCTGACCACAGGAAGGAGTACAAGATCAGCAAGTACAGGGACATAAGCCAACAGTATCAATTTGTCCCAGTAGGATCAGAGACCTTGGGATCATGGGGAAAAAAATGCCACACGTTTCCTTAAAGAATTGGGTTCCAGACTCATCGACACCACCAGGGACCCAAGGGCAGCCACTTTCATGTTCCAGCGCCTCAGCGTAGCCATCCAGAGGGGAAATGCTTGCTGCATACTTGGCTCGCGTCCAGCCTCGGAGGAGCTGGAGGAAATTCATGATCTTTGATACATTGTGCCATTGTATTCATGTTTATGTTTTTCTGTAAATGTATTCTGTTTATTAATAAATGTTCACATAGAATATCTAATATAGGGAGTGGTAGGAGAAGAAAATATTCAAACAGCTCCGGGGAAAACCTTGAGTTTTCCCTGAGGTACGTTTATTGTCTTCTTTGAGGATGAGGGTCCCCATTCCAGCCATAGAGGTGGTACTTCCCTATATTATTTATATAAATATTTATATATAATTCGTGGAAAATTCGAAGCGAGATCTGCAGCACTTGCAGCCGTGCAGGTTGCTGCAGCATCATGGTCACCAGATGGTCGCAATTTCAGGGTATTGCTGGCCTGACCCTCCCTGGCACTCCAACATGGTACAACCTATCCCACTCACTCTCTAAACTTACTCCTCCATAAAGTGAATTGGTAGTATTCCCCACTTAATGTTTGGCAGCGAGTAGTTTCTGGAGATTAGGGGCCGGAGGATCGAGCATCCACCACTATTTTGCATTTGTTTGAATTTTACAATGAAACCTGAGTATTAATTCAGATTCTTTTAATGTGATCGCAACACATAATTTAGATCTGGAATCTCCACAGTTCGCAGAGTAAATGCTGTTCCATCGTAGCGTTGGAATCTTTAAACGGTGATGGTGATACTTTTGTCAGGAAATAATGTAAACGTTAATACTGGCTAGTCTTGCTCTGACCCTCTACACGGAGCTTATGGTCATTTGACTGAGGCCTTTCCCTGGCTTACTGGCCCACACCCCTTAGTAACAATGAATTTATTAGGTAAAAAAAACACAAGTGCAACTAATGTGATATTTTATTGTGGCAACGTTTCGCTCTCCAGAAACTTCGTCAAGCCGTAACAAACAATACATGGATACAGAGGGTATATATATAGGTATAATATGTGTAGGTAGTAGTAATACTACTACTACTAGTAGTAATACTACTACTAGTAGTAGTATTACTTATACTAGTACTAGTATTACTACTATTAGTAGTACTAATTCTACTAGTAGTAGTATTACTACTTACGCCTTCCTCTTTGTATTGGACTGATGAAGCCACTGTGTGGCGAAACGTTTCCTGAATAAAGATTCCCATATGCTGCATAAGTGTCTCAATCTTCAACTTGTCGGTTTTTCAAACCATTCATCATTACTACTAGTAGTAATAATGAGAGCAAAACGTTACCACAAAATGTGGCATTAGTTGCACTTGTGTCCTTTTATCTAACACATTGTCGGCAATTCTACCAACATTAATACAACAATCAATATACAGTGGAAATATGCTATGGTAGTATTTCCACCGAATTTGAAATACAAAACATTGAAATGTGCCAGGATTGAGTTTTTTTTTCCCCCGGGAAGCCTCATCTCTGTCAACAAAACACCAAGTCTTTTAAAACCTCATTTCTCGCATCATACACATTATATACTTCCCACTGTACCAAGTTAATCATACAGGTATACATCATTATACACTGACGTGCCAAATCAATATAATGAATCTCTCAGTCAGAGGAGATTTTTTGCAAGTCATTGTAAGGTAAGGAATTCTTCTAGCAGATGTAAATATTCACAGAGACTAGTAATGAGGCTTATGTTTAAGTTTTGTTGATGGATTGGGGATAAAATAATTCTAATAATCTACCAAGAAACACGTTTAATTTCGCTCCCCTAAGTAAATAAAGTTTTAAGTGGCAATGTGTGTTTCAGAGAGAATTGGGGATCCAATTTCAAAGCAACATGCTTTGAAATTGGGTCCATTATTTTGAAACACCTTGTACACAGCTCAATATTCAACCTTGCTATAAAAAATAATACGTAAACTAACTGCAAGAATTTAATTATCAATGTTTCACTTTCGCTGGGGATCCTAATTTCAAATGATGTGTTTTCTCGTGATCTTACTCACTACTTTAGCAAACCGCACGCCTTATATTCTCCTATTTTTGTGAAATTAGCGACTGTAATGTAAATTTGGATTTATTTTCTACTGTAGTTGACCCTACAGTTTGTCATTTTTATGTGTAATTCTGAATTGTACAGTGTACAAAATAAATTGTAATGTGCTACCTAGTTCTGTTTATTTAATTCTTATCCTCAATGATGTATTTTGGAAAGCAACAAATTTCAAGGTCTTTAATATTGCCTATTATGGTTATGTAAACAAAATAATATTAATTATATGCTGGCATATAATTTAAATTTTGAAAAAATTATTCACTGATTTCGGATTTTTTTTTTAATTCGGCAAAATTTTCAGTGTCTTTTTGCTATGTGCTATGTGATACATAGTGGGAACAAAGGTTTACCATGTTTTTTCAAGGCATTTTATCCCACAGGACGAGTTTCATACATAGTGTCGAGATATGGTATTCTGAGGTTTAGTCTGGCGATGAGGATGTCAAGTATTTCATCAAGGGAGGTTGACGGGGGAGCCACGATGCTGGTGAAGGGAACTAAGGATCTATAGGTTCCCTTCCCGTCCTCGGATTCAACCCCCAGGCTGACTAAAGCCGACCACAGCCAACCAACAGCTATTTGGAAATGAAAAGAATGGGTGTACGCTCCATCCTCAGCAATGGTTGGACAAGGTACATGTCGGAGAAATCTGAAGGAATTTTTATTTATCGAGGAATGTGTGCTACATACGTAAGGCTCCGCGGTGGCCGTGATCGTATAGTGGTTAGTACATTGCGTTGTGGCCGCAATAACCCAGGTTCGAATCCTGGTCACGGCAAATGAGCCTCGTTCTTTTACCTGGAGATTTAAAGACCACAGTGGAAATAAGTCACTCTGCCTGACTTTGTTTGGAGGCTTACCCTAGGTATTTTACACTATGTATGATAATTGTATTCATATGTACCTGTACCTAAATAAATTTGCTAACAATGTTTGTGTCATTTATGCAGATGATCACAATTATATAAAATGGACGGATGCTGAAGCAATCGAGAAGATCAATACAGCATCTTCTGTTATAAGTACATCGAACACTTGTAATTAAAAATCAACTGTAAAAATATGGGACTGTACAAGAGACCAACATGTCTACTTCAGTGACCTGCTGGGTCTAGTCACTTATACCAGACTGTACAAGAGACCAACATGTCTACTTCAGTGACCTGCTGGGTCTAGTCACTTACATCAGACTGTACAAGAGACCAACATGTCTACTTCAGTGACCTGCTGGGTCTAGTCACTTATACCAGACTGTACAAGAGACCACAACCAATGGGCTTCACTTCCCCGTGGACCTAGCCCGTGGGTCTAGTCACTTACACCAGACTGTACAAGAGGCCAACATGTCTACTTCAGTGACCTGCTGGGTCCCAGTCACTTACACCCGACTGTACAAGAGGCCAACATGTCTACTTCAGTGACCTGCTGGGTCTAGTCACTTATACCAGACTGTACAAGAGACCAACATGTCTACTTCAGTGACCTGCTGGGTCTAGTCACTTATACCAGACTGTACAAGAGGCCAACATGTCTACTTCAGTGACCTGCTGGGTCTAGTCACTTATACCAGACTGTACAAGAGGACCAACATGTCTACTTCAGTGACCTGCTGGGTCTAGTCACTTATACCAGACTGTACAAGAGGCCAACATGTTTTACTTCAGTGACCTGCTGGGTCTAGTCACTTATACCAGACTGTACAAGAGACCAACATGTCTACTTCAGTGACCTGCTGGGTCTAGTCACTTATATCAGACTGTACAAGAGACCAACATGTCTACTTCAGTGACCTGCTGGGTCTAGTCACTTATACCAGACTGTACAAGAGACCAACATGTCTACTTCAGTGACCTGCTGGGTCTAGTCACTTATACCAGACTGTACAAGAGACCAACATGTCTACTTCAGTGACCTGCTGGGTCTAGTCACTTATACCAGACTGTACAAGAGACCAACATGTCTACTTCAGTGACCTGCTGGGTCTAGTCACTTATACCAGACTGTACAATGAGACCAACATGTCTACTTCAGTGACCTGCTGGGTCTAGTCACTTACACCAGACTGTACAAGAGACCAACATGTCTACTTCAGTGACCTGCT